TCTCAGGTTCTCTGAGTGTCCTTTGCAGCCATCACTGTACTATGTGAAACCGTGATGTGTTAATGCATTGAAAGTAGTGAGAGCCCTTGGAAAGAGAAAGCCGAGGGATAGAGGGCCTCATCCCCTGGCCATGGCCCTGCTGGCATTGAGCCTTCTTCTGAGAGCTTGTGCCCAAAGTGAGTAGGACACCTTGCTGGTTACCCACAGTGCCAGGATGGGAGGACCTGCCAGTGGCATCAGCAGCAGGTTGCTACTGGACAGCTTCCTACCAGGTTCCTTCAAGACTAGCCTCCAGCTAGACGTCACGTAGACTGCTTCTGTGCCTGCCTCTCCTGACACCATCCGCCAGGTGTGTATCCTCTGGCTCTTAGACATTAGTCTCATCCTGGTCACGGGCTCCGGAAATGTGTTGTACCTGGTCTCTCTGTCAGGCTCTTCAATTGCTGGGGACTCCCCAAGAGTCCTTGGTGCCGTCCTCTGCCAGGTGAGCCATATTGGAACCTCTAACACCTCCTGCTGGGTGCTCTATCACATGGAAACTGACCCACCAACCTGCATCTGCCTCTCTGGCATTGCTGGCTGCTTATTAAGTCCGAGTCTTGTGGTCTCCAGGCAGCAGGGGCTGAAGATTTTGTTGATGGTAGTGTATTTGGGTTCTCCAGAGAACCAGAACCAATGGGGGTGTGTGTATACATATGTACACATATGCACATACACATACACATATACAAGAGATTTTCTTATGGACTTGACTCGCGTGACTCTGGAAGCCAACCCAGGGTGGGCTGTCAGGCTGGAGATGTAGGGAGATGCTGATGTTGCAGTCAGGTCCGAGCGCCTCGCTGCAGAATTCTCCTTTGCTCCAGGGAAGTTAATCTCCTGTTCTATCCAGGCCTTCAACTGAGTGCAGGGTGATCTGTTTTACTCAAAGTCCATCTATTTAAATGGTATTCTCATCCAGAAACACCTGCACAGAAGCATCCAGAATCAATTTTCACCACATTTCTCGGTACCAGGGCCCAGCTGAGTTGACACTTACAATTCACCACTAGAGCAGCCCTCTACTCCAGAGGCCAATGCTGGTGGTAAGCATGAAACCACAGATGGCATGACTGGTCATGGCGACCTACAGGAGGGCCTTGCTTGGTGGTCCCCTCCCTTGGTGGTCTGCCGCACTCCTGGGGCCACCCTCTATGTCCCAGACTGAAAGGTCTCAGAACATTTTAGCATCCACAAACAAGTCTTTGTCAAATCACTCCACTCTGCTTCTTCTCTACTCTAAAGTGGGAGCAGAAAATTGCCTCCGGGCTCTGCACATTATCTGGGTTTGGTCAATTCCAAGGCACAGGACTAAAATTAGCCCTTCCTCCAGAGGCTGCCTGGATGAATTCCTCTGGCGCTGTCCCGGAAGGCACATCTGTCAGCAGCTTATGAGTCGGTCTAGTCCTGCCTTCCACTTGCTGGCAGGCGCGGAGAAGTGCCACTGCAGCCACTCACCTGTGTCCTTTGGGTATTTTATGTGACTTCTGAAAGCCACTCACATTAGTTCCAGCTTCAATCCTCTTCCCAGAGGGTGGGAAGTTGTAGCGCTGTTGTATCTGAGAAATCCAAAAGTGTGTTCACTGCTCTGGAGATGCGAGTTCATTGAGCAGGGACGGGAGACTCCACCAGATCCTTGCTAATCACAGGGAGCATCTAACCTCAGACACGCTGGCCACGACTTGTCAATAATGAAGAGAATGTAAATCCAGATTGGAATGTGCTCACCCTTGGCTGCTTTCCTGCTGTTTGTGTCTGTCGTTGTTTCTGTTACTTCATTTTACACCCCGAAAACCATATGCCCTACCTAGACACCTTTTATTCACTTTTGGGACAGTTTCTGGTGGCCTGTTAAGCTCCTGCCCAGTGCTAGGTGCCGGGAACATTCAGGTGAATTAGACACACAGGCTGTGCTGGTGGGGTCTAGTGGGCTCACAGGAGGAGACAGCCTCATGGCTCTGCCCCATCCACAAGAGCCCATTTTGCCATTGCTGCTGTTGACATGGCACTTTCAATAACCCACGGCGGCTGCTCCTCCTCAGAGAAATGTTCTAGGGCAACTGGAGTCACTTTCCAAGGAGGTGTCTCAGAGTTTACATTTTTACCCTCCTTCTCCAGCCCTGGCTGCCATGAAGGCAGGCCATTCAGGTATGGGGTTTGGAAGCACAGACACTTGCTTTGGGTTGGCACAATGCTGAGACATAGCTTACCCTCTTGAGTTCCCCTGGGGGGTCAGTCTGAAGCCACTCTCTGCTTCAGTTTTGCCTGAGATCATTTCCTGGCTTGGCTTCCTCCTCTACTGGTCTTACCCACTTCCCCGCCCCCTGGCTTTCTTACCATCTTCCCTGGGAGAACATCCTTCATAAATCACATGTGCATGACATGACTTCTCCTCTCAAGGTTGGCTTTGGGGAAGCTTGTCCTGAGACAGTCATAGAAACTTAGAAAAATCCAAAACCACATGACTAAGTTTAAGGGGTTCTGGGAGCACAGTTGAAGGATGTGTGTGTGTGTGTGTGTGTGAGACACACAGAGGAAGGTGTGTTAGGGAAGATTTGGTTCTACTGTGATGCTCATGGAGTATTGCTGATGGTGGCAGTGCAGGAGCAGGCTCAGCCTGCAGAGCCGTGGCATTGGCCACGCATACGCTGATGGCTTCACGTGCTTGAAGGTGGTGGCAGAGGGTTCATCCCTGGATGGTTCTGCGCTATAGTCTTGCTTGTGGTTCTGATTGTGTTTTCTTCATCCTGTCCACCTATCTAGCTGCTTTCTCTAGACTTTCCAGTAATTCTGTGAGTTCTCTGACATCCTCTTTCTGTGGCAACAAAGAACCCTCCCTAGTCCTTGAGTCACAAGTTTGGGGAGGATGGAGGGAGAGGAAAGTGAGTGCATGTGAACAGGCACAGGTGTGAAAGGGCACCCTCCTGGGGAGCTGCAGGAGTTTGGCATTTCTGGGGATGGAGCCGGGGTGAGCTGGAGAGTCTGGGTTCATGTACTATCGTCACTATCCGTGAATACTGAGTACGGATACTGATTTACACAGAGGTTTAAATCACAGCATCTCAAACTTATGGATGTCATAGTTTCATTTATTAGTCCCTGGCTGCCAAGGTTAGATCCACTTATATCTGTAAACCCGGAGGCTTATGGTCAGTTTAGAGCTAAATCCTTAGCCATGGTTTCAGTCATCTCTGATGAATGCACATCTTCATCAGGGATGGAGAGGGCTGGCAGCCAGTGCAGAAGGGTCATGTGCACTCTGCTATGGAGATGGGACCTAGGTTGTTTCAGTCACTCTTTGCTTCAAAATGTCATTCAGATGTGGACATAGGCCTTCAACACTTAGGGACCTAAACTCTTTGACTATCTAATACATTGCACTCTGCTTTATTTGCAAATGGACATTTCTATAACATCTTCTGCCTATAACTTCCTGGATCCATGGATACAGAGCTAACAGTGGAGAAAGGGTCTCCATTTATCTGAAATTCCAAGCTCTCTCACATAAGAGGAGCCAAAGCAAGGGGGATGATCATCTTCAAAGCACTTCACATTCTGTGTCTAATCTGGATATATCATCATCATCATCATCATCATCAATCATCATCATCATCTCAATTTACAGACGAGAGAACTGAGGCTCAAATAGCTTACTAAGCTTGTTGATACTGCTCAGTTACAGAATACTGATGCTAGTACCTGAACCCATACCGTCCAGCTCCGCAGCATCGAGTCTTTCCCTGTGTTCTCTTAGACTATTTATCTGCCGGTCACGTTTCATTGTCTGCCCAGCACACATGTGAAATACAGCTCACCTCCAGTGTGGTGACAAGGCATCAATCTTATTTCTTCTGTGTCTTTCCAGTTTGGATGTGAGAGAAGATGTGCATTCATCAGGGATGACTGAGACCACTGCGAAGGGTTCAGCTCTAAACTGCCCATAAGCCTCCGGGTTTGCAGATATAGGTGGGTCTAACCTTGGCAGCCAGGGACTAATAAATGAAACTATGACACCCATAAGTTTGAGATGCTGTGATTTACACCTCTGTGTAAATCAGTATCCATATCCAGTACCCACGGGTGGTGAGTTGCTGAAGCTGTGAACCTATTGGGAAAAATCCCCCTGATGGCGACAGTCACCACTTACTGAGTGTCCACTACATCCACACAAAGCACCTTTACATGCTATCTACACAGTCCACACAAAAGTACAGCGAGGTAGGTGGGGTCATGCCCATTTTACATATGTGAAATTCAAGGTTCAGTATATTTAAGTCCCTTGTCTGGGACCACACAGCTAGTAAGTGGAAAAATTGAGGCTCACACAATTTGGTCTGACTGCAAAGTCCATGCACTTCCATCTGGAATCTTGCTACTTTAAATCTCATGCTTGGACCAGCAGCATCACCTGGGGGCTTATTAGAAATGCAGGATCTTAGGCTTTACCCTAGGCCTAGTTCACCAGAATCTGCCTTTTTATCAGATTCCCAGGTGATGTCGAAGCACGTTGAATTTCAAGGCACAGTTCTGGGTTGCACGACCTCCGTTTTGTCCTTTCAGGATCTTGTGGATGCAGTTCTGATTGCCATGGTCTCGACCGAGCATGAACACAACGACTCTCATAGAACATTTCCTTTGTCCTCTAGTGTGGAGTTGTCCCATTTTGGTCCCTTATCTTACCTGAGAATCCTTCAACCGCTGAGGACTGGCCCAAAATCAATCAATCAATCAATTATCTATCTATTATCTATCTATCTATCTATCTATCTATCTATCTATCATCTATCTATCAATCATCTATCTATAATCATCATCATCATCATCATCTATCTATATCTATCATTTATCATCTCATCTATCATCTATCTATTTTTTAAAAAGGAGGGACGGCCAGGTCTGTGATGCTGTGATATTCCATTTGGCCAGCAGGGGTCCCCGCGGCATCTGCCGCGGCAGCCTTGTGAGCAGCAGGAAGAAAGCTGGGAAGTTCAGACCCTGCCTGTAAGGAGGGTGCGGTGGACGGATTAAGAACAACGCTGTGAAGGAAAAGCCTGGGTCTCGGTTTGCGGCGTGGGGAGCACCCGGCTTTGCAGAGCTGTGGCGCAGAGGTGGAGCGGAGCTTTTGTCAATGTGTGTGTTTGAGAGTAAGTGATGGATCGAATCCCTAGGAAAAGCCCCTGCTCCTCTCGGCGGGCTGCAAACCAGCCCTGGGAGGCAGGCGCTTGTGGTCGGGAGGCAGGGGCCTGGCTTCTAATTTTAGTTTTGCCACTGACTCACAGCGGGACTTCTGGACTTGCTTCTTTTTCTTGGCCCTGGTTCCCTGGGCTGTCTGAGAAATAAAGTGCATAAGATCACCTCGAAGGTCCTTTTCAAGCAGTGTCTATGAAGTCATAATTAAAATGCCCTAGGAGAGCACTATCTACTTAAAAGAATTTTTTCTTGTTAAATCAAACTGTGCAAAGCTAATTATCACTCCTTAATTCGTCTATTTTATAACTTCATTTTTTTCTACTTGTTTTCTTTTTTGTGTGTAAAAGTGCCTATTTATTTAAAATATGAAAACACAAAACACAAATCGAGCAAGTGCCAAATACCACAAACATCCCCAAACCCTGAACTGTGACATAATAGTTTTTATGAAATAGCTTCCTAACACATCTCTATAAGGACTTACCTCTTCCTACAGTTTTTTTTTTTTTTGGCTTCATATGCTGTGGTCATCTCTCCAAGTAATTGCAATTTTATAATATTTTTTATACAAAAATTATAAAGATAAGCTAACCTTTTATCTAACAGAGTTGAAAAACTTTTGTTTTATTATTGATCGTTGTATGGGACTCTGAAGCCACACGACTTCAGACACTGACTACTCACTGTAGTATTCCACAGGACTGCTTTTCAAATGGGAAATCTGAAAAATTGTATTCCACCAAATTCCCATCAACACAGAAAAAAATGGTGCATTTACAACTGAATACTCTGTTCTTGTGTATATTCTTGAGAGTAGAGAACTTCCATTTTGCCTAATGCCAGTGAGAATGCCAGATTGTGGAATTAATTGTATATATTTGATGACTTGGAGACTTTTTCACAGATTTAACTTCTGGCTCTGTATATTCTAAGCCTTCTTTCCCCTCCATTCCCAATTACTTCTGGTGCCAGGTGCAGGGGGACATGTTCCTAGGGCGACAGTACTGGTGGTCCTGTACCTGCAGGTGAGGGTGTCAGGTGAGTCGCCTGGGGAGGAGTCCTGGAAACCATTCCCATGGCTGGCTTGCTTCCTCCGAAGCTGTGCGGGGAACCAGAGCAAGTGCATCATCCCTGCTGAACGATTTCTGCCTGCAGGGGGCAGTGCAGGCCACGGGCTGTGGCGGTGGCTGTGCCAGGCTTTTCTTTCCCCAGGAAAGGCTGCAGAGGGACGAGTGACTGGAAAATCCTCTTTCACACGTAAGTTTTCTTCACCTCTCCTGAGGTGGTTCAAACCTCAGTGTCATTTTCCTCCTCTCTTTGTTCGCATTCACTACTTTTCTTGCCACACTCTGAAACTCTGGAACATTCCCCAAATCTGCTTGGAATGGGCATAGTTGCATCCTCTCACTTCAAACCACAAGTTGAGGATCAGCATAAGAAAACGAAGTTTAATGTTTTGTTTATTCTGTTTCTCTGGAGGATATTTCTCAGGTACGTCTCCCTGCCTGTGATTCTCCAGGTGCTGTTTTTTTTTTTTTTTTTGAAACAGGGTCTCACTGTCGCTCAGGCTGGAGTGCAGTGGTGTGATCTTGGCTCACTACAGCCTCGACTTACTGGGCTCAGGTGTCCTCCCATCTCAGCCCCACTGAGTAGTTTGGACTACGAGTACGTGCCAGCCTGCCCTGCTAATTTTTATATTAGTTTTGGTAGAGATGGCCCAGGCTGGTCTCTAACTCTTGGGCTCAAGCAATCTGCCCACTTCGGCCTCCCTAAGTACTGGGATTACAGGCATGAGCCAACATGCCTGGCCAATTATCTAAGTTTTTGTTTATTTTTAAAAATTAAACCTCATAAAAGGATGTAGTGAGCCAAAATCAGAATGAGGAAAACTCTGTTAAAAAGATAAACTGAGGCACAATAAAATGTTTAGAGTTTATTTGAACAAACGATGATTCGTGAATTAGGCAGCTTCAAACCAGAAGTGGTTCTGGAGTTCCGCCGAGGGAGAGGCTTTCACAGGCACATGGAAGTAAAGCCAAGAAAATGTTTGACGGGTTAGACAGCTGTCTTATTTGGTCCATCCCACTGGAAAGCCCCTCATTATACAATTATTAAGATTTTTGGCTGTTTCTGATTTCTTTAATGTAGGCATTTACAAGAAATAGCTCAAGTTAAAATTTGCTTGTATTTGCAAATTCCTGCACAGACAAAACCAGTTAGACCTTTTTAGAGTCACTTATAAGGCCTAACTGGTTTTGTCTGTGCAGGAGTTCTTCAGGCGTGGCCCGCATTTTAATTTAATTGAGCAACTTTATAGGACAAATGACTCCACATCTTCGTAAAAGAAATGGTGTGGAAAAAAGGGGGCGAGATGGGGAGTAACTTTTAGGTGAAAAGAAACTTAAGAGACAGATCACTGAGTGCAATGTGTGGACACTGGATCCTGATTCGAACAAGCCGACTGTAAAAGACCACTTGTGAACCATGTAGGGAGAAGTGTGCATGGTCTAGAAATTACACAGTACTGAGGAATTGTTCAGATGGTTGGGTGTGATCATCTGATAGGTGATAGCTTGGATTATGCTCCAGTGCATGGGTATCACCCTCTACACCCCCTTTTTAGCTGTAAGGGTTAGAAAAGAAGGAGGTGGCAGATGCAAAACTCCAGGGATTAGGTGACAGGGACCTTAGTTAAGGGGGTGGCAGTAGGGTGGGTGGGAAGGGGACCAACCACAAAACGATTTTTCTCTTTCCATCCTTCCCATCTTCTCTTCCTCATACAGTTACACACTTACACACTTTCTTTTTTTAAGGAAATTTGTTTTTTATGATGCATCTTTTTTATATTTTATTGCGTTTTAGGTTTTGGGGTACATGTGAAGAACATGCAGGATTGTTGCATAGTTACATACATGGCAATGTGGTTTGCTGCCTTCCTCCCCATCACCTATATCTGGCATTTCTCCCCATGTTATCCCTCCCCAACTCCCCACCCACCCCCGCTGTCTCTCCCCTAGATCCCCTCCACAGACCTCAGTGTGTGATGCTGTCCTCCCTGTGTCCGTGTGTTCTCATTGTTCAACACCTGCAGTTACACACTTTCTTACCCTGGGGCTTTCCATAATCTGTTGCCCCTTCTCAGGAAGCCCTCCCTCACTCCTTCCTCTTCCATCTTCCCCAAAGCCAGGCAGGACTTTGATCTTGCTGTCTCCACTGCCAAGTACCCTGTCCATTCCCTTCCCTGAACGCCCACTCTATTCCCAGGCCATTGTGCACAGGTCAGCCCTGGGTAATGTTCTCATCTCTACAGTTGGACAAGGGACTCTGTGAGGAAAGGCCAGAGCTGGGTCTGATGTCTGCTTCACCCCTCATGGCCTGTGTGCTCAGAAAAAGTTCCCTGATTGGGAAGTCCACCAAGTTCACCAGGCAAACACAAGTTATCCCGGAATACATCTTTTCATAGAGAGAGGGTGGCCCTAGAATTGCTGGTGCCACCTGGAGGGGAATTTGGAGGCAGTGATAGCACCAGGCAGCAACCTGCAGACCCCCTGGAGGGTAATGAGTGACAAGGCTTTATTTCATCTTGTCCCATCCCTGACCATGGCTCTTCAGATAAGCTGCCTTGAAGAACGAGGCAGGACTTTTGGCAAATTAGACCCTGGTGTGCTCCACTGCAGTGGCTGTTAACCCTAGCCACACATTAGCATCATTTCGGAGGGCTTAAAACTTAAGCCTGACGGTGAGCTCTCTGCACCTCCTCCACACTGAAGACTAATTAAAACAATCTCTGGGAAGTGGGGGTCCAGGCATCTCATATTTTCAAACCTGTTGAGATGATAATCCTTGGAGCTGAGGCTGAGAAGCTCTGGGCTGTGGGAGTCTTTGCCCCACTACAGAGCTGGGATTTAATGGAGCCATTTACAAAGCTGTTGGCTGGTCCTTGTTGGCTGTGCCAACAGGGAGAACAACCTCACAGTATTTTATTTCTGTGTAATACAGTCCATAGTCCCAACAGAAAGCAAGGGAAGGTTAAAGTCATATGCTTCAGGAGAAAATTGTGGTGTAGAGTTGCTGTGAGGCGAAGTTCAGAGGGATGGGAGAGAGGCCTGTTTGCAGAAGAAAGAGGGGCTGGACAGGTAGTTCAGAAGCATTCATATTCCTTGTTCTAGGATGGATGGGTAGGGAGCAAGAATGTAGGAGGGAGCGAGCCTGGCCTGAGGAAGTGTCACTACCCCTGGGAATCAGAGTACAAGGAAGAGCTCTTATGGCCCTGAGAGGATGGGGCTGCCTGGAGCCCAAGGTCCCAACCTATCACTTCCCGTGGAGGGTGAAAGTGTCCCTGTCCCTGGGGGTCCTGATGGAGGTATCTCTATCAGGAGATGTATCATTGCCAATCTGTATCATTGCCAGCCCTTGCCCAGAGGCTGTGTCCTGTAGGGTGGGGCGGGGTGGGTAGGGAAATGGCTGGGAGCTGAGCAGGGCAGGTATAGGTGGCAGAGGGGCTATGGTAGGAACAGAGAAGTACTAGCCAGTTTGGCCTCTCTCTCTCACAGCACCGCCCCCATGTGACCACTGAGTGGGGAAATGTAGGAAGTACTTACATGATGGTTACGGAAAGAAAAGTAACACATTTTTTATTCTTTCTAAATGATACACAATCCAGCCCTGAGATTCAGCTTATGAGGAAGCCAGGTCTGGTTGTTTCTGGGATCTCCCTAAACAAGAGCCCTGAGGCTCACAGGACCCACGTTGGCTGCCTGTTTCCTTTCCTTGCTCTGCCTGTTAACGGCATGGCTTCCTTGAGAAGGCTGCCCTCATGCCTCCTTCAGTGGCCCTTTCCTCTGCCTGCAGCTCGGGCTAAAAATGTTTGGTTCTTCTGGGTGCCAGACTGCCATTCCCATCTGAGACCTAGCTATCCTTGGAGTGTTGGGCCTGAGAGGGTTTCTGGTTACAACTAGAAGCAGAAACCCAAATCCTTCCCCTCCTGCAGCTGACTTGGAGGGACTGACACAACACTTTCTTCAATCTCCAGAATTCAAAGCTGCAAACTCCTCATCTCTGACCAGCTGTTCCCATTGGATTCACCTGGGCACTTTAAGAACTGCTGACTGGCTCTTACTTGCAGGTTTCCTGATTTAATTGGTCTGGGTGCAGGCTGGGGATAGAGACTTGAAGTTTCAGGTGATTCTAATCTGCAGCCAAGCTTGTGAGCTGCTGCCAGCCCAATTCCTCTTCATTAGGCATAGAGAAGTTTCCTGAACCCAGCTGTCTGCAGAAAGTGAGTGGTTAACATCAACCCAGGATGCCAGGTCTCCCACCTGCTGAGATCCAGTGTCTTTAAAAACCTGTGCAGGCTGAGAAGAGTGTCTAAAGAGCGGCTCTTAGTGACCAGCATGGTCACTCACCTGGGTTTTTGAAAACAAAAGCTTACTCACATACTCACCTAGCAGGGAAGGGAAGCCCATGCCTTTGGGACCGAAAGTCCTGGCTGTATTTGAGGAGGAATAAAGCACAGCTGTTTTACATCCAGGTGATAGTACATTTCTAACAAATCATTCTGCTACACTAGCTTACTTCTCTGTGCCCACTTTGAATGCCAGTTCCATAATGCTAGGGATTATGTCTGTGAGTTTTCTGCTATATTCCTACTTTACAGGACAGAGCCTGGCACCAAGCCAATCTTTGTCACAAGAACAGATGAGTACTTGGATGGATGGATGGATGGATGGAAGGGATGAATGAATGGGAGGTGGGGTGGATGGATGGGTGGGTAAGTGGATGGAAGAATGAATGGACAGATGGTTGGGTAGATACAGGATGGCATACAGATAGATGAACCAGAATCACTGCCTCCTGAGATCCTCTGGAAAACCAGCCTCTCACTCAGGATTTGTATTAGTCTGTTCTCACACTGCTGTGACGAACTACCTGAGACTGGATAATTTATAAAGAAAAGAGGATTAATTGACTCACAGTTCTGAATGGCTGAGAGGCCTCAGGAGACTTATAATCATGGCAGAAGGCAAAGGAGAAGAAGCATGTCTTACCATGGTGGAGCAGGAGAGAGACAGAGAGAAGAAAGAGGGAGAGAGAAGGTGCTAAACAGCTTTAAAAAGCCAGATCTTGTGAGAACTCTATCTTGAGACAGCACTAGGGGGACGATGCTAAACCCTGAGAAAGCACCCCACGATCCAATCACCTCCTACCGGGTCCCTCCCTCAGCACTGGAGATTACAATTGAATATGAGATTGGGGTGGGGACACAGAGCCAAACCATATGGGAGTTCTTTTTGAAAGGCAGAATTGGTGAGGGACTCCTGAAAGCACAGCAACACATCAATTCAATGTTTAAATAGAGCCTAGGAAAGTTTCCTTTTAGCTATTCACGTGGTCACCATTTAAGATTTTGTGAGCAGCCACCACATTAGGCTCTCTGTCTTGTGACACACAGACCCCATGATTGGGAATAGTAAGAAGGCACATTCTTAGGAAAGCTGTCAACCTCACAGGGTGACCTTTCAGATACAATGATTTGTAAGAGAAGAAAAAAACGCTGCAATAAAAAGATCGCTTTCTTTCATTCTTTTCCAGCTCCCTTTATTCCTAAAGGGAATGTCTTGAGTCACCTTTTATTCCATCATTGTATAGGCCTTCTCTCTGCTACCTGTATGGAAGGGAATCCCTCAGGGCTGAGATATTTCTGAGCAGGTGGAGGGGGGGTGATGGGAGGATTCCAGGCGGCCCTTGTCAATTCCTGTCCTGACCTGGTTTCATTCCAGCTGCTCTTAATTGGCATGCAGGGCCTGCTGGCTTCCCTTGTCTGTCTCTTCCTAGTGAGTGAGTGGAAGGCAGGCCAAGGCCCTGAAGTATGCAGTCTCCCATCTTCCAGGGACATTGGATCCAGGCCTGTCTGCAGGTCCCTGTCTTGAGTGGTTGCGGGCTCTTTGCTCACCTTATGGAAGCTTTTGGACGTTGACGTGGGTCAGGCCTTGAGGACAGAGGAGTGAAGAGGAAGGAAGGCCCTGGCCTTAATTTTGCTCTTTCTTTGTTTAGTAAGAGCTCCTGAGTCAGCAGTCTGCTCCACTACCCCGATCAGCTCTCACCTCTGACCTTGGACTGGGCGGGAACTGAAGCCAACAAAGCCTGTTTTTAGACTTCGCCAGGAATGGTAAACCCATCTCCTGGAGGGGAGTCAGTGCTCTGCCCTGTTCCATTGCAGCAAGTGCACGAGATGAAACCTGAAGTGTGTTCAGTATTCAGCCTGCCTAAGAGTTGCTGCTCAGCTGACGTGGTTTCTTCCTCAACACAGACACTGCTGCAGCTAGAACCAGAAAGGACCTGGTGAATCAGCAAGGGGCTTCTTATTCTGAGGATGTGAACCTTCCTGGGGGAGTCCTGCTTCTGTCAGGCATGACATTCCAAATACTTACAGATGACATCCCAGAAACCAGCGGCAAAGACCAGACCTCTGGTAGGGTAAGGTTAAATTATTTACTACACAACATCCACATTGAGATGTCAAGTAGACTGTTGGGTGTATTGAGTCTGGAGTTCCATGGAAATGTCTGAGCTAGAACTAAAATGGTTGGGAGCCTTAGACATAAGGATATTATTGAAATCCAGGGGTAGGTAAAGGAGGCTTGAAGACAAAGCCTGGACATTGTACCATTTAGAGGAAGTATAGACAGCCTGAGTCAGCAAAGCACACGGAGTGGTAGCAGCCAGTGAGTTAGGAGGAAACTAGACCCCTTCATGTCTTTGATATATATAGAGGTAAATCATTATGATACAATACGAGAATGGTTAAAGGTGTCAGAATCGTAAGTACCAGAGAGTTTGAAAGGAAGAAATATTACTAGTGTTTAATGGAGCACTTAATGTGCATTAAGACCTATGCTTGCATTGTGCACAAAACATCCGCAGCTATCTACTGCTTTAAATTCTGCATTTTATAAAAATTACTAGCATTTAGTGAGTACTTGATATGAGTTAGGATTGGTGTTCACGTTATGCACAAGAATTTACGAGGTAACTTTTCTACTAAATTCTCCATATTACAGAAGAGGCATTAAGTCTTAAGAGGGTGAAGTAACTGGGCCGAGGCCAAGTGAGATTGCTGCATGTCCATCTGACTCCACAGCCCTTTGGGTAAGGACTAGGCAACACTGCCTCTCTGGGGCTGGGGACTGAGGAAGAAATGAGAGGCCCTCAGAGGAGACAAAAGGCACTTTCTGTAGGGCTACCTTTTGGAAGCAGATGTAGAATTGCCCTGTGCAGCAGCAGAAGGCAGCCCCAGGGCCATGCTGGAGCTACTGAGATGATTTCATTTGGCACATGGAAGGCTTTCTGATACCTATGGCTCTGTGAGCCACATGAAGGTAGTGGGATTCCTCATCAGCAGAAGTGTTCAGGGAGGCGTAGACAGCATGTTCTTTCCAATTCACCCCGCCGCTCCTTGTGTGTGACAGGCTGCTGCTGGGGGCCAAGCTCTTTTTCTGAGCTTCCTCTTTTTTTCTATGCTTTCTGGGCCATTAAGTGTAATTCAAATACCACAATCCACTGACTTTTTCACACCTTTCCCCCAAGGTTTATTTCCCATACCTTCAGTTTCCTTAAATGAAAATCAGCCAATCAATAAGCTGCAGTTTAGTGCATGTCATGTGGCTGGTGCTATACAGGACTGTACTGGGCACTAAATGTGTGCCAGGTACTGTGCTCCACACGTTCCAACAACCCAATGAGGCAAGGATTACGATTCCCATTTAGCTGGGGAAACTTCAGAAAGGCGAAGTTGCAGAGCCAGGATTCAAACTTCAGTCAGCCTGGTTCCAAAGCTCGGCCACTGACCCCCAATATATCATAAGTCTGACTTGACCATGGTGTTACACTTCTCGAGGTTGTCCAGGCGAATGTGCAAGCCGCCTTGTCAACCTTACTGGTTAATTAGAGGATTGCTGTGTTTCTCACCATAAGCTGTTAGTAGTAAATGAGTAAGTACTGAAGTTTTTTGGTGAAGGCTCAACATCAGAAAACTTAGCTGAGGAATAATGTGGTTCTTCCTTGAATATCAGCCATAGGCAATAGGGGCTGGTTACCCAACCACGTCCATAGCTGCCAGTATTTATGCCGACCCAACGCTCAGGCAGGGCTCAGCCTGGGATGTGGGTGCATGTGGTAGGGGGAGAAAGCACTAATTTCTGCATGCTGGTTTTTTTTTCTTTGCTTATACTTTGTCACTAAATCACTGTAGAGTTTGCAAAGTGCATCCTTCATGATCTTATATGATCTTATACCTGGATACCTGGAGACACACAGAGTAGGTGCTGTTGTTACTGTTTTATAGGTGAGGAGACTAAGATCCAAGAAGGCTGAGCAAAATGCCCAAAATTACAGTCAACTAAGGCAGAACAGGGACTCCCATTTGCTTTCTGCTGCCTTTCCAATGACCTACATCTGCCTACCAGTACCTTGACTATGGGCTGGGGGAGAGGGATCCAACCTACTTCCAGAGTTGAAGAGGTAAGTATTGGAGGACAAAAAAATATAGATACAACAGCTATTGTGTTTTTCTATGGGAAATGCTGTACAAAATTTGATTATCTCTAGATTTCAAGCCAAGCATGGCAGCTGGGCTAGTACCTAATTCTTAGGCTTGCCCATGCATGGAGGAAAATGGGATATTGAAGACATTTAAGGCCTTATTGCTACATTAATGCAGGAGCTCACAGTGATTGCACTATGAAATTTACCTGGCAGCTCAGCAGGGAAATTGCAGCTAATTAATTTTGCCTGACTTTATGGAAGCCTCCTCATTTTTAATCCTCTCTCTGCTTTATACCAGAACATGAGTGAGGTGCGTGTGGATGGAAATGTAATCTGTTACTTGCAAAGTAGCTTCTATGTGTGGCTGCCTGACATTTACTCCATAGCCCGCCCTGCATTTTCCAGCATAGATGTTTTCTTCTCATGGGGCCTGGGCACAAAGAAAGAATGTTTCATTCGATTCCAGCAGAACTGTAGAGGAATTGAAAATAAGGAATTCAGAGAAGGAAGGAGAAGAGGATTTAAGAGGCTGACTGTGCAGATTTGATGGAGATTCATTCAGAGCATTTTTTGGAGCTGGAAATATTCTCAGAAGTCATCTATCCTGTCGATTCTGGCCCTCCCTTGTAAGGTGTGGCAATCTCTGAGTCAGCTTGGACTGTGACCCAGGAAATTGACCCGTAAGAGGTGAGCTTAGATAAGGACCCATGGAGCGATTATTGTCCAGTGCTTGGTAAGGCCTAAGGATTGGGGTGACATCTGAAAATGATCTGTGGCTGTAAGGATGGTCCGATCCAGGCAGGTAATTTAGATCCAGAGTGAATGATGACTAACTATATCTAGGTACTTTGGCTGGTGGAGAGACCCATATTGGGTCAACGTTGGGGTCCAGCCTGGGCTGCTGTACCTTCTTAGTCTTCAGGCTTAGGGAGTGAAGCAGCAAGGGTTCCTCCAGCTGTGACTACATGTCCCCAAGGCATGCCAAAGCCCCTTTCAGGGCACCGCAGAGAATGCATTGCAGATCAAAACCAGGGGCCATTCCCAGGCCTAAGCCATTTTGCAGAATTCTCATTTCTTCTTTCGCTGAGCCCTGTCTTTTTAGTGTTCCTACCAGCCATTCTGTTCTATAGCCTGGGTGAGTGGTACTGATATAGTTTGGATATTTGTCACCTCCAAATCTCATGCTGAGATTTGATCCCCAGTGTTGGGGTGGGCCTGGCAAGAGGTGTTTGGATCATGGGGGTGGATCCCCCATAAATGGCTTGATGCCATCCTAGGGATAATGAATGAGTTCTCTGTTAGTTCTCATGAGATCTGATTAAAAAGAGCGTGGTAATTCTTTCTCTCTTTTTTCACCTCTCACCAGGTAGTTCTCACCCTTTCCCTTCCACCATGTAGAAGTTTCCTGAAGCAGATGCCAGCACCATGCTTCTTATACAGCTTGCAGAACTGTGAACTAAATAAATCTCTTTTCTTTATAAATTACCCAGCCTCAAGTATGCCTTTATAATAGTGCAAATGGACTAAGACAGATATGAAGCAGGCTTCCCATGTCTCTCCTTTCTTGCTGCCCTGGTCCCTGGTCTTGGCTCCCCTTTGGAATGATCTTCTCTAAACATTTCTTCTAATCCTCCCCTCCCACCTCCACACTTCACGACTGCCAGAGCCACAGGTCCCTGGAGCCCTTGAGTGTCCCTGTGTGAGCAGCCAGTACTGTGCAGGAGAGGAGAACTCTGGTGGGAACACAGTGCATATCTGCAGCACAGCAGAAAGGTTACCAACTTGGAGAGGCTGGGCTTCAGCCATCTAGAGAAATGTGAAGGGGCATTAGCCTTGCCTCCTCCGTTCCAGGGCCTCAGAGGTCAGGAGAAAGCATATCACCTCAAGCAGAACATTCTGAACTACAGGCCTCCCTGGGCATGAAGCCTCTGGCTACCCCAAGACAAGCCTGAGGGAGGCCAAAGGTTTTTACCCATTGATGTGAATCCATGGGTGCAGGTACTGGGTGGAGAGAAGGGGCATTCCCGGCACAGAGAATGGCAGAAGCAGGAAAGAGCAGGATGTATTTGGAGAAGTGGCTGGTGTGCAGAACACGAAGGGTGCTCTCAAGTAGATGAGTCTACAGTGGTTGGCAGTGCCAGCTCACAAAGACTGAGCTTCTTGACAAAGCACTTGGATTTAGAAGTAAAGGAACCACTGAAGATGTTCTTTTCCTTATAGATTTAAAAAATGTAATAAATTTTTATTTAACTTTTTTATTATATATATTTTTAGGTGTACAACATATTGTTTCCACACAGTAAAATGGTTGCTATAGTCAAACAAATTGTTGTATTCGTCATCTCACACAACTGCCTCACCTTTTGTTTGGTGTATGGCAACAGCACCTCAAATCTATTCTTTAAGTCAAAATCCTGTACACATTATTAACTATAGTTGTCACGCAGCATGTTAGATCTCTACCCTTGTTCATCCTACATGCCGATACATTTTTATTTAGGAGTAGTTTTTAGATTTACAGAAAGATTACCAAGATAGAACAGAAAATCTCCATTTCCCCTGTGATACTGTGATCTGGTTGGAAATATGTATAGGCATACCTTGGTTTATTGCATTTCACTTTGTTATGCTCTGCAAACATTGGGTTTTTTATAAATCGAAGGTTTGTGGCAACCCTGTGCCAAACAAGTGTCTCGGTGCCATTTTTCTGCAGCATGTGCTCACTTTGTGTCTCTGTGTCACTTTTGGTAATTCTTGCACTATTTCAAAGCTTTTCATTATTATTATACCTGTTATGGTGACCTGTGCCTGGTGATCTTTGATGTCACGATTGTAATTGTTTTGGGATGCCATAAGCCATGCCCATATAAGACGGTGAACTTACTCCATAAATGTATGTGTTCCGACTTTCACTCATCAGCCATACCCTCATCTCTCCCTCTCTTTAGACCTCCCATTTCTCTAAGAGGCCAATTAATAATCCCACAATGGCCTTTAAGTGTTTAAGTGAAATGAGGAGTTGGACATCTCTCACTTTAAATCAAAAGGTAAAAATGATTAAGCTTAGTTAGGAGGGCATGTCGAAAGCCAAGATAGGCTGAAAGCCAGGCCTCTTGCTCCAAACAGCCAAGTTGTGAATGCAAAGGAAAAGTTCTTGATGGGAATTAGAAATGCTACTCCTGTAAACACACAAATAATAAGAAAGTAGAACAGGCTTCTTGGTGATACGGAGAAAGTTTTATGATATGAATAGAAGATCATACCAGCCACAACATTCTCTTAAGGCAAAGCCTAATCCAGAACAAGACTCTGACTCTCTTCAATTCTATAAAGGCTGAGAGAGGGGTGAAGAAGCTGCAGAAAAAAGATTCAAAGCTAGCAGAAGGCGGTTCATGAGGTTTAAGGAAAGAAGCCATCTCCATAACATAACACAAGATGAAACAAGTGCTGATGTAGAAGCTGCCTCAAGTTATCCAGAAGATCTAGCTGAGATCGTTGATGAAAGCAGGTACCCTAAACAGATTTCAATAGCCTTCTATTGGAAGAAGATGCCGTAGAGGACTTTTATAACTAGAAACAAGTAAATGCCTGGCTTCAGAGCTTCAAAGGACAGGCTGACTCTTGTTAGGGCCCAGTGCAGCTGTGACCTTACGTTGAAGCCCATGCTCATTTATCATTCTGAAAATCCGAGGGGCCTTAAGAATTATGCTAGATCTACTCTGTGTGTGCTCTATTGATGGTGCAACAAAGCCTGGATGACAGCACATCTGTTTATATAGTGCGGTTTACCAAGTACTTCAAGCCCACGATTGAGACCTGCTGCTCAAAAAGAAAGATTCATTTCAAAATCTGACTGCTCACTGACAATGCAAATAGTCACCCAGGAGCTCTGATGGAGATATACAAGGAGGTGAATGTTGGTGTTGATGCCTGCTAGCGCAACATGCATTCTGCAGCCCATGGGTCAAGTTGAAACTTTGACTTTCAAGCCTTATTATTTAAGAAATGCATTTCATGAGGCCATTATCATTGCCACAGATGGTGATTCTTCTGATAGATTTGGGCAAAGTACACTGAAAAACATCTAGAAAGAATTCACCACTCTAGAACATTTGTGATATGTGGGAGGAGGTTAAAAATATCGTTTGGAAGAAATTGCTTCCAGCTTTCACAGGTGACTTGGAGGGTTCAAGACTTCAGTAGAGGAAGTCACTGCAGATGTGGTGGAAACAGCAAGAGAACTAGAATTAAAGTGGAGTCTGGAGATGTGACTGAACTGCTGCAAAACTTGAACAGTTGAGGAGTTGCTTGTTTGGATGGGCAGAGAAAGTAGTTTCCTGAGATAGAATCTCCTCCTGGTGAAGATGCTGTGAATATTGTTGAAATGATAACAAAATATTTAGAATATAACATAAACATGGTTGATAAAGTAGCAGCAGGGTTTGAGAGAACTGACTCCAATTTTTAAAGCAGTTCTACTCTGGGTAAAATGCTGTTAAACACATGGGCACATAGAGGGGAACAACATACACTGGGGCTTTGCAAAGGGTGGAGAGTTGGGGGAGGGAGAGGATCAGGAAAACTAACTAATAGGTACTAGTCTTAACACCTGTGTGACAAAACCAGACACAGTGGTTCATGCCTGTAATCCCAGCACTTTGGGAGGCCGAGGTGGGCAGATCAGCCTGACCCACATGGATAAGCCTCATCTCTACTAAAAATACAAAGTTAGCCACATGTGGTGGTGCATGCCTGTAATCCCAGCTACTTGGGAGGCTGAGGCAGGAGAATCACTTGAACCTGGAAGGTGGAGGTTGCAGTGAGCTGAGATCGCACCTTTGCACTCTAGCCTGGGCAACAAAAGTGAAATTCCATCTGAAGAAACAAAACAAAACAAAACAAAACAAAAACAAACCTGTGTGGCAAAATAATCTGTACAACAAACCCCCATGATGCAAGTTTACTTATCTAACAAACCTGCACAAGTACCTCTTAACTTAAAATAAAAGTTAAAAAAAAATGTGCTTAGACAGCATCACACGCTACAGAGAAACTTTTAATGAAGGGAAGAATCACTTGATGTTGCAAACTGCATTGCTGTTTTACTTTAAGAAATTGCTGCAGTAACCCCAGCTCTCTGCAACCACCTCACTAATTAGTCAGCAGCCTTTAAAATGGAGTTAAGACCCTCCACCAGCCAAAAGATTATGACTTGCTGAAGGCTCTTAAGCATTTTTTTTTAATCAATAACGTATTTTAAATTATGGTACTATAAACCAAAAAAGTGTCTGAGACAGATATAACTCAAATTAGAGGTTTATTTAGTGAAGTTTGAAGGCATGCCTGGGAAAAAGAGACACAAGCGACGGTAGGATCTGTGGCCTGTGCTTTTCCTAGAGAAGGTTTTGAGGACTTCAATATTTAAAGGGGAAAGAGTGGCAGGAGGGAAAGGGGGGAAGAAAAAATCGGAGAGGTTAGGTTGAGGTAAGTGGCCACATTTTGTGAGGCATGAATTTCACATGTTACATGTGAAAGGAGGGGTGGAGGACCAGTCAATTTTACATTTGTCTCAAACTCAGTAAATCTATATTTTATATATGATAAAGTAAACATAGAGTAGAGGAAGAAGTCAGATAGGCATTTGTCTCAAGATGGGGGGAGGGGTGATTTCTAGTCTTGTCTTTTTCTATATTTGTGAAGATAAGCTGTTAATTTACATTGTCAGGGCTCAAGATTCGACAGAATTCTGTTTTAGGGTCAAGATTTTGGGGCCCACAAAAAATCTCCTTGTGAGCAATTTGTGAGGGGGGCCACCTGGGGAGATAGATGGCCTTTTTAAAATTGCAACAAAAGGAAGGTGGTTTTTTTGACTCAGTTCCCAAGCTTAACTTTTCCCTGTGGCATGGTGAGTTTGGGATCCTAAGATTTTGTTTTTCTTTCACAGTATGCACATTGATTGACTTTTTTAGATATAATGCTATTGAATATAGACTACAGTATGGTATAAAAATAGGCTGGGAGTGGAGGCTCATGCCTGTAATCCCAGCACTTTGGGAGTCCAAGGCAGGCAGATGACCTAAGGTTGGGAGTTCAAGAATACCATGGCTAATGTGGTGAAACCCTGTCTCGACTGAAAATACAAAAAAATTTGACAGGCATAGTGATGGGTGCCTGTAATCCCAGCTACTTGGGAGACAGAGGTGGTAGAATTGCTTGAACCTGGGAAGCAGAGGTTGCAGTGAGCTGAGATCACTCTACTGCACTTTAGCCTGGGTGCAACGGAGTGAGACTCTCTCAAAAAAATAAAAATAATAAGGGACCAAAACCACCTTTGTAAAACTAACAAATTGGCCACAAGGTTAGAATTATGGTTCAGGATTTGTAACCTCCCTAATTGCTCTTATAGGTAACATCAGTATAATAAAACCTAAAACTGGTATTTGAGGTATTTTTCAGACCTTGCATTTTGATGGGCCAGCTGGTGCCACTTGGACTAGTAACCCCCTAGGGGTTCTTGTGACTCCCATCCAGGAACTGATTCAGTGCAAGAAGACAGCTTCAATTCTCAAGAAGACAGCTTTGACAGCCTCAGAATTCTTAGGGAGGTAGATTTGAGATTTATCTCCCATCCTTCCACTTGGCTAGCCCTGTGATAAGCATACTCTATCTTTGCTGCAACACCTGCTGTTCTTAGTGCATTGGCTTTCCTGGACAGCAGGCAGAAAGACCTGCTGGGCTGTAACATATGTAGTTGTTTTATTTGTGGTCATTTAATCCATTTTGTGTCTGTAGATATTTCCTACTTTACTCTTTATTTTAGTCTTCTCTTTTTTTCTTAATTAGTCTTGCCAGAGTTCTATGTTGTTAATTTCCTCAAAAAACTAGCTTTTGGTTTTATGAAATGTCTGTTTTCTTTGTTATTGGTTTCATTTGTTTTTGCCCTTATGTATATCATTTCTTCTTTATTCTTTTATTTTTTTCTGTTATGCCTTTTGCAACTTCTTACATGGAATGTTTTCAATGTCTTTTTATTTTGCTTGATAAATTTCTGAATACCTGAAAAGTTCTGCTTTAACTGTTCTCATGGATTTAGAAATGGAGTGTTTGTTACTGAATTTTAAGTACTTATTAATTCATTTTTGGTGTTCTTAGCCCAAAAGTTATTTGTAATATGTAATATTGTTTCCTGGTCGTAGGATTTTTGCACATAACTTTTTGTTGGTAATTTCTTTTCTTTTCTTTCTTTCTTTACTTTTTAAAATTGAGATGGAATCTCAATCTGTCATTCAGACTGGAGTGCAGTGGCATAATCCTGGCTCACAGCAACTTCTGCCACTGAGATTCAAGTGATTTTTGTGCCTCAGGTTCCCACGTAGCTGGGACTACAGGGTTACACCACCAAGCCTGGCAAATTTTTTTTTGTATTTTTAGTGGAGATGGAGTTTCACCATGTTGGCTAGGCTGGTCTTGAACTCATGACCTCAAGTTATCTGCCTGCCTTGGCCTCCCAAAGTGCTGGGATTACAGGCATGAGCCATTGCATCTGACCCATTGTTGGTAATTTCTAATGTCATATTATGAACAGAGAACATACTCTCTGTAATAATGTCCTTATAATTATTGACAATTCTTT